ACCACTCTTCGCCGATGATATACAGAGTTCTTTTAGGATATAAAGGTAAGCATCCTGGGGCAATCACGTGAAAAATCGTTAATTTGATGTAAGAGCAAGCCTGGGGTGAGCGGTCACACATTTGGTTCTACACAGTTGCTCCTGCTCATCCATCATGCACGTGTTGGCAGCAGAGCAATCAGGTGCACTATAAGAGATAATCTCGCAGAATTCGTTGGCTCTTTTATAGAAGGATGCTTCTGGGTTATTGAAAGAAACTGTCGAGGTATTTTTTCGGAATTTGTGTTTACGTTGATCGAGGAAGGGGGAAAGTCTGCAAGAACACAGCAGTGTCTTCGCAGTCTCGCTTGACAGCGCTACTGAATTGCACCTAAAAGGAAACTACTTATATTACGGAGTATAGAAAGACATTGACATAGTTTTCTCAGTACTGACGGTCCGCATGTGCAGTAAATGAATGCAGTGTTTTGGTAAACACTAAATAGTTTACCAAATACTACATCGGGACCTAAGACCCAACAAAAAGGCATGCTCGGGTCTCATAAATAAAGGCCTCGTCTCAAGGAGGCCTTTCCCAGCTTTCATATATGAATTCGGCATAATGCCGCGGCTTTTATCGCCATTCTATATGTCATAGCTGCCGAGTTAGGGCAGCAATTCTTGCCAACATGTTGCAGCGGTGTTGCCGATTCCAAGTCAGCCCATCCTTAGCGTTGCATTGCATATGCAGACAGTCATTATGTTACATGCTGGCAATAAGCCTTGGTTTCAGCCTGAAATGCCTATAATGGTCAGAGTTTTAGGCTCCAACGGGAACTTTTTTTAGCGCATGAAACATTACAACGCGAGTTCAGACTTGACAGGCTAGTTCGTTGATAAAAGCATACCAGGTGTACTACTTGTGAGTGGATCTTTTTGTTTAGATTCAATATGTTCATTGTGTAAGGTAACTTTGTACGGGTCATAAATGTAGATACATGGACAACACAGCTCTGCTGCTTGTGAAAACGTGAACCGACTAGCGGCAACCAATGAATATCAGAGCCCAGGGCATGCCCGTTGCCCAGCTCTTTGGTCCCAAGCTCGACCTGGGGGACTAGAAACCACTTGTCTGCACCATCTCAGGAGCGTCTTAAATAGATTGGACGGAAGGGCCGGGAATGGGGTAGGAAGAGAAAGACTGGTAGAGGTTGAAGAGGATACCAGGGTCGGTAGGAGTGTAGAAGGTGGTGAAGTCGCCACCACCGCTGATGGCCTGGCTGCCACTGCCAGTAACCTTGAGGTTGATGCACTGAGGGTAGGCCTGAGCACCGTTGGCCTGGCCAGCAGAGTGAAGACCAATGATCTCATGTCGGAGAACGTAGTTTCCGGCTTTGAGGTTCTTGGGGACGGTGAACTTCCATGAGAAGCCATCGCGGATGAGATCGTCAGAGGCCCAGTCACCGGGGTTGTTGCCAGACTTGAGACCCTTCTGAGCGACCTTGACCCATCGGAGGCTCTGCTTGTTGATGCTGGCAAAGTCACCGCTGACGGGAGCGAGGTACTCAGTGACGGGGCCGTGGTGAGAGTCGGGCCAGGTATCCCATTTCAGGGTGACAACATCACCAGCGGCAACAACGACGGAGTTGGAGACGGGCTTAGCGCTCTTGTGGCAGATGATATCGGCGGTCTTGAAGGCATCGGGTGCGACGAAACCGTTATCCTGGTTGCCAGCAGCCCAGCCGACAGCGTCAGAGGGAGCACCGTGGGGAATACCACCGGTGTACTCCTTGCCACCGGCAATGACCTTTGCGACGTGGCCGTGGGCGTTGGCTCCAGCGAGGAGAGCAGCCACGACACCGAGAGAGAGGTTGCAGTGCATGTTTGCGGTTTAGAAACTGGTAAAAGAAGGCTTGTTGGGCAAATGTGGAGTGATGAGAAGTGAAGAGAAGCTTGCTGGAAGGCTGATTTGGGAACATCTCAACCAGACTCTCTCATGTTTATATAGCCATCTGATCTATAATATCTACATGGAGCATCTATTCCTGTGAGTCTATACACAAAACAAGGTGACCATTTTGGTCGACGGAGATAAAACTGGAACTAGACGAATTCGTGCCCTATCGAAAGGAGTATCAGCATCCGTGTTTCCCAATGGGAGCTAGGATCGTCATCGTCAGCCACATCAAGAGGGTCGATATTAAAGGGGATAGTAGCCAAGCGTCTCGCCTTAAGAGCTGGCGTATGGCCTGGCATTATTTCGGTCTGCAGTGTAGCATCAGATCCATTGCGTCTTTTCGGCCGTCGGACAGAAGAGCCGCCTGTCGATTCGCTGTGTCATGTTTCAGGAACGAAAAATGACCAAGAAAAATCGGAACGTGAGCCCGATTATCCGCCTGTCTCCTCCGTACCTTGGTTAAAGCAACGTCTTGGCGGGATCTTGCCTGAAACAGATTGAACGGGTCTGTGTCTCCATAGCCGCCTCAGATTTATTAGTGACAGTATGCGAAAACAATGGGCGAAACGCGTATTTAGAGTTTTATTCGTGGAAAACTAGTCTTTTAATTCGTCCTGTTTCAAGGCGGGTTTTTCATTTATCAGAGGGAAACGTCCCGGTTTAATTCCTGTTGATCGCATGCCGCTAGAGAAGCTACCGGAAGATTGGTTAAGCATATAATGGCAATGCAGCATGCAATCATCACGATAACTATAGATAGGAGAATATCTGCGGCACGGCTGAGTTCGGATGACTTGCGATGAATACCAAGCCGGAGAAGTCGAGTGCTTATTACTGCATTGGGATGAGCAGGGAAACGGGAAGATGTGAACCGCTCGATCGCAATAGCCATGGATCAAGATGCCATCTTAGCATGAATCGTGTCACGGTGGAGATGGATGCGAGGTTTGACCAAGATGGACGAGTTTTCCCGTGGCCCTGTTTCAAGAAACAAGGTTACGCGGCCCGGTATTTGCATTCCAAAGCATGATTTGCTTCTTCTCGCTTGGATAGACGGGATGCCACGTTGATGGAGGTTTGAAACGAGATGGCCCAGTGATATGATGGTGAATCGTCTGATGTAGACGGCTGTTGGCATTCATGCGTGTTTTGGTTTCAGGCTCTTGAGCACGATGACGTCTCTGGATCTACAACTTCAGAATTAAGGTTGCTTATATGTTTCTAAGCCGAATCGGTTCTGACATAAACTGAGATGTCGACAGAGGTTTTCTGGAGCACAGTGACAGTGAATGGACTGCTGTCCTTATGAGCTGCAGTTACCGGTCTATCAAGCACATACGACCAAAGGTAGTGGAAAATACGGGATCCCGTCCGCTCTCCCATAGTCAAGCCACTAACGTAGTTGGGTCGGTGCGAATCCCCGCTGTTGTATGTAAAATTCTTTTTTTGCTAGTGGTGAAGAAGAAGTCTGGTGAGACCTTGTTTTTTTGTGCGAGGAAATTTTTGGGTCTGTAGGATCCTGAGCGCACGTGACATGTCTGACTTTCATTGGCTGGAGATTACTGGGTAATTTCACAATGTAACTCTTGCAGCTGGGTCGAATCCCTTACCCTAAATATGCTCTTTAACGCTGTAAATAAGAGACAGAGCTCAAAGGATGACTGCGGTAGTAGATGCCATTATGGTTTAATGATCCCAGAGCTGAATGTCTCTTGTTAATGGCGTCGCGCAGTTATATCAAAGATATTTCACGAGATGGAATCTTTATCAGCGACATGCAAAGCGTGCGTCAATGGGCAACCAATCTACAATGAGGCCCCACGACAGCATAGCAGGCAGAACACAACAGATCATTCACGCACTCCTAAATGTTACACGCGTTGTTCATAGGCAAATGACAAATCGGCTGACGGGATCGGTGCCCCCTTCGGAGCTCATCGTCACATTGTTCACATTAAATTTAACATACACATATGCCGGAGTTCGAAGCATGGATATCGGATTACTGCGAAACGCCTGAAGCGCGACTAGGTCTAAGCTACATGCGGGTTTCAACGCGTCCTTATCACATTCATTTCCAATTTTACAATCTTCTTCACCACTTAGGCAAGCCCAAGAAAGCAATGAAAAGGGATGGAGCTCAACAAGTGCGCGTTCGCGTCACCTAGAGGCAGTGTAATACTAGGGACACTGTGGACAGGATCATATGCAAGCATAGAGGAAGCTGTCCGCTGGCCAAAAATAGGAATAATCACGATTGATGTCCTTAGACATCTTTCAGAGATTAAACTGAAAAGAACAGATACTACACTTGATCTAAGCCAAAAGGCAAAGAGAGCTAAGGAGAAAAGAAGAAGAGAAGCGCAGCTTGGGCGGGCTCGACGAGAAATTTATACTCAAGACTCGGGCGGTGAAAACCAAGGTTTGGCAGAATATGGGTAGGGACCTGAGGCATTTCGTGGTGAAAATGCGGTGGCTGGGAGAGAGTTCATTTCGCTTGGTCGAAGCGAAAGCATCGCAGCATCATTGAGCAGTAGACGAAAGTCTGGCTCCAATGCTTTAGTCGTTGCCTGCCACAATTGACAGAGTTCGAGGCAGTGCAAAGATATTTCTGGAGGGGTTGAAGATGCACCAATCGATTGCATCATTTGCCGCGCCTCTTTGGGTCGCATCAGAAAGTTTCTACGCCGCTGAGCGTTAAAGCTGGAACGGGACACGTGGGCGAGCCTCGCGATATCATAGATCGTTTCGCCCGACGCCACATTCTGTGGCAAGAGAGTTCCCAGACAGACTGCATATACCCGGGACGTGCTTTGCTGCCCCAAGAGCCCCAAGTTCTGGGTTGCATACGGAGTACTCAGTTGCCTTACGACCGCCTGGACATCACGGCTGAATGCAATATCGCGTCACTTATTATGTCGCATGCTGACATCAAATGAATGAAACGCTTAAAAGCGACGGTATTATTCCCGGTTGACATTATCTACTCGAATGGACTGACATGTCCATAACTCGCTCATCGTAAGATCATTACATGAAGTCGCCTCAATCAAACCCCAAATATTTATGCGCAACCATCAGACTTGTAAACAAGAGCTGACGGATCCTCCTTTTGCAAATAGTTCTGCTCAATCAGAAACTTGACGTTGCCAGTTTCGCCAGTGAAGAATTGCGCTCCGAGACCGGGCTGGCCAAACCAAGGCGCGATAGGTCCTCCGACCACTGTGAGGGGCTTGATGACCCGGTAGACGTGGTAGTTGTATGGGAAGTCTGGAGTATCGGGGTTTGTAGCCAAGTTCGAAGGAGGGAGAGCTCGTTGTGAGTAGGGAGCAGAGGCAGCAGAGACGTATGATCCTAAAATGCTGTTAGACTGTGCTGTTGGATTGAGGCGACGCGACGCAACTTACCATATTCGCTTCCAAATCGATCTACGAGAGTTCCGACTTGGAGGACCATGCTACCGTTGATGGCATTGCCATTCGCGTCAAGCTGGAAGCCATTTTGGGGAGGGTACTTGTAGTTGCCCTTCTCGTCCGTCCAAGTCTGGAGGAATTGAATTGGTGTAAGCCCACCGAAGCGGTTGTAGCTCTCCACGGTTGCGCTCAGCGGGAGCTTCTTTGGAAGCTTCGTAGGGCCGAGCCGAGCATCGCGGCAGATGTAATCTTTAGAGCTAGATCCACCGTCGCGAGTGCCGGAACAATCGCAGGCTGCTCTCTCAGCAATAATTGGGTTGGGCAAGGCTGAGACTGTGGAGAGGCACAGCACTGATGAGAGGAGAAAAGAGGGAAGCATTTTGGATCAACTTTGCTATCGCGTCAGGGAATATGGGCTTGGAGATGAGCTGCTGCCCTTCAGAACAAGGGACAGAGGCATCTTCTTATACCTAACGTATGTATGAGCCGTGTCTAAGCCAAGAGTGCATGTGAATCTATTGATATTGTGTCTCTGTTGACGAGCTGAGATCTGCATGATGACTCCGCTGTTACTACTCTGATGGCCTCAGACGGCGCATCCGAGCTGAGCACAATGTCTTACTCTCCCCTCCTTTGGTGCAAGGATACAGCGGGCTAATGCAGGAATGCCGACAAGAATGGCATTGAGTGATACAGATGCCCAGATTCACATGGCCTCAACAAAATAATTACCGTACGTAATGACCTGACTTTGAGCAATTGAAAAGCACATGAAAGAAGCGGTCGCGGTCAGATTGAGGGTCCAACTCATGCCTCAAGTAATTTTGATGCTCGTTGAGCTTTTGCGCGTCGATGGAAGATGGCCTAACGATGCACTATCGAATCTCGCTGCCGTGTTTTGTTCCAGACCTGTGTGAGACAGCAACCTCCCGTCTCCGCGATTTAGTGCGTTGCTAGGCTGCAAGCCCTATGAATTAGTTGATTGTTCCCAATGCAGGGAACCTTTTAGCAGAACAATAGGCATCATTTGTCGGACTCTCAGCACACCTAACCACCAGCCATTCTTACAGGGATCCGACGGTCGTTTTTTGGTTGCCTGAGAGCTGACTCTCAGGTGGCTGGCTGATGATTGACCAAACGAGCACTGTGCATATCAGCTAAGACATGGCTTCACGCGCTACAGCGCATTTCGGCTTACGTGGTGCACGCCCCAGCTCCGACATTTTCTATAGCAACAGCCCGCTCCATGAGACGGGGCAATCGGTAACACAGGCGATCACGATGGCGGTCTGGAAATGATCAGCATCGAGTTGAACTGGCTCTATCTGTACTATGTATCTACTCCATACTCTCGTGGCCGTCGCCTAACCCTCAAGCCAAGCCAACAATCTTGAGCGCGTCTTGCCAAAGTCGAGCCTCTCGCTCTGGGTCATAAACATGTGGCGCATACCCTTTGCCGAAGTGAGGATCAATCTGCTTCGCTGGAGGCGCCTCCTGGCAATTCTCCAGATATTTTCCACCAGCGTTTTCCCACTGCTTGCCGATAGCCGCCCAGACTGTCGTCGCAGCTCCCTGCTCTGGGCTCTTCAACATCTTCTTAGCCGTGTCGCTACTAGCGAGAGCCTGCAGGACTTCCGGGGGCATATATCGTGAAAGTTCGGTCATAATGCCTCCGGGATGAACACTTGTCGCATGCAAACCCTGAGAGCCGTATCGACGGTCTATCTCATTGGCGAGGTAGATATCAGCCGTCTTGGATTGGCCATAGGAGAGCCATGGCTCATAACCGCCCTTCTGGAAGTTATAGTTGTCGGATTCATGGATACCGCCATGCTGGTGAGCTGATGAAGAAAGAACAACGACTCTGGAGGTGAGCTGGGGAGTCACGGCCGCGAGCAAGGCTGGCTTGAGAAGCTCGAAGAACAAGAAGTGGGCGAGGTAGTTGACTCCGAATTGCATCTCATGGCCATCCTTGGTGAGCTCAAGCTCGGGGACAGCCATGCAACCGGCATTCTCAATGAGAATGTTGATCTTGTCGGTTTTGTCTAATATGTTCTTAGCAGCAGCACGAACACTGTCGAAGGAAGTTAGGTCGAGCTCAATGAACTCCATTCGGCTGGCATCAAAGAACTCTTCGCAGGCTTTCTTTGCCTTGTCCAGGTTTCTTGCAGTCAGGAATAATCTGGCGCCAGTTTCTGCAAGAGCTCTGGCAGTCTCAATACCAATACCGGAAGAGGTTCCGGTAATGACGATGACTTTGCCCTTGAGCTTGCCTGCGACACCCTCGTCTTTGATGATCTGGAGGGCAGTAGGTCTGGCATCGCCCGGACCCTGAGTGTCCTCATGTGCGGCAGCGTATCGAGACATTTTGTCTTGTAATGTGAGATAGAGATATTGAGAGATGAATGTTGTGATGTGAAGGGAGCTTGGAAGAGATTCGATTCTTCAAGTTCGCAGACAAAGACGACTTATATACTCGATTCAGTCAGTCACCTCATGTTCCAACAACGCTCGCTCTTGCTACTAAACTTGCAGGATTTAAACACCGAAGCACCAATCAAATCACTCAGATTCTCGAGTGATGCATGCACGGCAATGTCAAACCTTAGGCTTTCGACAACAGCCGCTTAATTCCGGACCCCTACGGAGTAGCTGCGATCATGATGCATCATGGGTGACAGTTTCTACCTGATCAGGCTAGCGTCGGAGTTTGGGGGTTAGGCGGAGTTCAACCCTTTGTCAGCTGGCTGACGTCTTTTTCCTTTATGAGACTGGCATATATCTCAGTGTCATGGATGACTTCGTTTTACCTCCTTGGTATCGCAGTTTAATCCTCTCATCTCCACATTAGACTCTTAACGAGAGCAATGGACACTGCCGACATTGACCAGGACCGCAAGGCCCGTAAGCGGGCACAGAACAGGCTGAATCAGAGAGCACGGAGTAGGAAGCCTTATCTCCGCTGAGCTGCATTGGTACTAAACGTTATCATAGGGGAACGTCTGAGGAAAGAAAATGAGGAAAGGAATGTGCCGGGCAAACGCCCTTATCGAGTTGACCGCTGGAGGATCGGCACCGACGCAAACGCTGAAGAAGAACCCCAGACTTCTTCCGCCAAGAATATGGGGCTGTCCAGAGAAGAAGACGAGTCGCCATCGCAACAACTTATCATAGCAAGCCAGTCTAGCTCCAACTCAGGTGTAGTCATCTCTGTTGACCATCGTCTTCTTCACCTCATTAGCTACAATGTTTGCCGAGGCATGATGACCAACAAGAAAATGATGCGGCTGTTTGCAGAGTTCATCGTAGCATTCGACTTCCCAACACTTGAACCCCAGTCGAAGACATATTGCGACATCGCAGTTGTTCGACCTATCGATCGAGAATATCTACCACTACCAACCCGCCTTGAGCCAACTCACATCCAGATGACCTCGCCACATCCCTGCTGGATCGACATCTTCCCGTTTCCAGAGCTCAGAGATAATCTCATTCGGAAGCAACTCGTATATGATCACATGCAGTTTTTGGAGGATTTGGTCGGTGATTTCGTGTACATTTTACCTCCTGCGGTGCCGTCAGCAAGGTGCATTGTACCGCCGTTCAAAACGCCAGAAGGAGGAAATCAACGAAAGGAAAATGCTGGAATGATCTTATGGGGCGAGCCGCATCTTAGTGAGAGCTGGGAAGTTACTCCAAGCTTCTTAGCAAAATGGTCATGGTTGATTGGAGAGTGCAAGGATCTTGTTCACGTTTCGAACAACTGGAGACAGAGTCGAGGGGACCAACCATTGCGATCGGTCCGTGTTCCTTGAGTAGAAATCGGGTATAAAAAGAACGAAACTCAAAAAGAAGAGCTTGATGAGACTGGGACTCGAACCCAGGAGGATTGCTCCACCAGGAATTGGTGTTAAGGTGACCTTAACCTGGCGCCATCCAACTCGGCCATCTCACCGATTTGCTTGATGACAAAGCATTTATTGGAGTTCTTGACCAGGACACGACACAGTGCTCACGTCTTCTATGGAATGATTTCCTGGTGGTATTTACAAAAGACTGTTCTGATCGAGATAGCATTCAATCACCATCTGAGATTTTGCTCGTCAAGTCAGAAATCGATTATGGCGTAACTTGTCCTAGGCTCTTAGTAACTTGACTACTTTCTGTCTACACTGCCCTTGGAAGTCTCGGGATTGTCTCCAAGCTTATCTGTTCAGAAGTTCTCAAAGAGATACCTCATTCCAGCCCAGATCTCCTCACCAGACTCAACAATCTGCTTCGGTGGAAGAACGAACCCATTGCCCCTCAGCCTCTGGGGCCGAAGCTCCATACCCCAAGCAAGCTCTGCTCCAGCAATATCATAAACCCAGTCACTACTTCCACCCGAAGTCTGATAGATGGTCTGGCAAGTCGGGCCGTAGTAGAAATTCAAGTCGTTGACCTGCTTGATAGCGTCTGCAACGCCGCCAGCGAGTTCCATCTGCTCGTTGATATCGGTGATGTTGGTGTCGCAAGTATAGCCGTACGGAAGGAGGATCAACTGGCTGAAAGAGTGAAAGTCGATATAAGACTTGATGCCATTCTTCTGCGCAACTGATTTAGTATGCTTGACTAGCGCTTTGTTTTCAGGAGTGTCGCCAGCCTTCATGCCGCGATATGTCTCGTTGCAAGTATCAGTGGATGAACCGCCGGGGATATCCCACTCGTGAGGCCAGTTTCGATTGAGATCGGTGCCGACGCATTTCTTGCCAGCTCGCTTCTGGCGGTTCTTTCGCCACAGCCGGTCGTCAGTTATAGTATAGACGAACCCTATGAAACAGTCAGCATTCGTGTTCTGCGTTTATAAGAGACATTCCAAAAATCACCATCAGGGTTCGCGATCGGAATGATGTAGATGTCGTAGTTGTCGAGCGTATCTCGAACAAGCTGATCTTTGTTCTGGTACCCTTGGACAAGCTTCCAAGCCATGTACTCAACGGTCTGTGAAAAGCGTTAGAATTCCAAAACCGTCTACTGAGTTGGATGTATCCTACCATTCCGCTGATCCACTCGCGCGCGTGAGAATTTGCATGCCAGACGATGGCAGGGTTCCTTCCCTTGTCGCCTTTGCCCCAGAGGTGAATACCTTGGATCTCTCTGTTTTGTACGGTCCTACCAGCTGTGAAGACCTCCGAGTTCTTGGGGAATGAGGCTTGCAAATCGGAGAGAAACTGCAGGTGCTGCTCGAAGCTATGGTAGGACTTGAAGTAAGATTTATCGGGTAACTTCGCCTTATCACCAGGGAGTTTGGTGGTAGCTACTAACCATCAGTAACGTATGAACTGACAAGACCACTGGGGTTGCTTACCCTTGTAGAGCCCAAAGCTTCCCTCCTGGGCGATCTCGGCACCCATGTTGTCGCTGACGACGGCGGTTTTCAGGCCAAGACGGTTAAAGGCCTCGAGCTTTCCAGGAGGAATGGCGACCTCAAAAACATCGTGATTTTGCCCACAGCTCAAAGAAACGTGATCGATGCCTTTGAGAAGGCCAGGGATATCTTTGTCGGACGGGCGAGCAGTGATGGAGAAGGCTTTCCAGCCATCATATGACACCTTGGCTGCAGCAATGGGCAGCAGAAGTCCCGTGTATATAGTGCTGAACAACATTTCGAGGGTCTGCGGTTGACGGAGGTTGCTGGAGATATGTTGAGTGATATGCTTCACTTTGGTTGAGAGCGCTCCTGTTGCCCTCCTTTATACTACTTTGGAGACTCTGACAAACTCATACGAAAACGGATGAATTCCCAGGACTATGATGTATGGCCCGTGAATCATCACGGCTTCCGAGCACTTGGCTGCCTCAGATGTTGGACAGGTCACAATAACCGACCGCATCATGTGGAGTGCCTATCACTGATTCATATGTTTCGACTGGAGGAAATAAATCTTGTCATGGATGTATGGCCGGTCAAGCTATGAATAGAAGCTAGGTCTCACAACTATCAGATTTCGGCTTGATTGTTCTGTTGGTAGGTGCCTAGACAGGGGCATCGGACGAAAAGAACAATATTAAGACCTGTTGGTTGTCCTGTTTCACTTCGCCCCTCATTGGACAGTAACACAACAAGCTCGTCTTGTCCAGTAACCTATCACTTTATTCCGCATCACGGCCAACATGGTCTGCGCTTTGACCCCTCTCCCAATTCTTCTGCAGCACCTTGACCATCCTGCCCCAGATCCGTCGCGGCATCTCATGCCCAACATCCCCCCATAGCACATACTCAACATCGCCGGGTATCGCTTTCGCCAAAGCCTCTCCGTGAATCTCCCCAAAGATCTGATCCTTGCCTGCTTGCACAACCGTTGTCGGGCATTTAATCATCTTGAGCGTACCAACCCCTGGCCAGCCATCTTTCTCGTACGACGCGGCGCCGTGATTCGGAGCTTTGCTGTATAATGTGCCACCTTTGATATCCCGTTCCACCAGACGTCTCACCGCCTTCTCCACCTCCTTTCTCTCTTCCGCATCAGGCTGCGTTGTGAGTGCGTCATAAACAGTCATTCCGTTTTTTATGGCCGTTTCCCTCTGACCTCCGAAGCCAGCTAGCATTGGTTGGAACCCGAGATCCAGTCCTCCTTTGATTGGGAGCTCAGGACTCACACCGGGAGACGTGTACAGAAGCGACAGGCTTCTGACTTGTTGGGGCCTACGCGCAGCGACTGTGTAGGCGACTGGTCCTCCTTTACTCAGACCAACAATATGGAAACCCTTTGAGGGATCGTTGAGGTTCAAGTGGTCTGCAAGTCCTTCAATGTCGCCTGCCATATCTCCAATTGAGTATCCGCCAGGCACGGGAAACTCAGTTGATAGGCCCGTGTCTCTGGGATCGAAGCGAATTACGAAGTATTTCTTGCCATCTTCCGAAGATTGAAGTTTTTCGATGAGACCTTCTGCCCATACTATCATTGAATCCGCATTGCCCGGTACAAGTATGACCGCAGGATCTGACGGGTCGCCAAAGGTTTGATAACAGATACGCAATCTGTTAGTGAGCTGGGCGAAGAGCTCTGGTGAGGCGTTCATTTTGCTATGACAATTTCGACAAAAGTGTTTATAAACTCTCTTGGCGAATAAGTTATGATGCTGTTACAAGAAGGGAGAGCATCGCAGATGTTTGTTTGCAGGATACTGGTGGGGGCTGATGTCAGCACTAATGCAGAGAAATACAGGTGCTGAATGCTCTAGTGTCAAGTCGTTACTGACTCCCCACTCCCAAGGCCCTGATAACTGATATTCTCTTGAGCCTTTATTGGCTCGTTCGCATACCATTTCCTTTTCTGGCTCAGTGTTACAGGATATGATCAGAAAGCCCATTAATATTCGTAGATACAAGTCATGCGACTGGAAGCAAACAACTCACTGTAGCCGCTATCCTGTCGTTTGAGAGGTGCCGTAGCTTCGGTTGTCATATAGAATATATATGTTGAACTTCAAGTGTTGTTTGATCGCTACTCTATCAAATTGTCCTGTGACTTAGGACGACGTTGAAGCCAACTGCCATCATGTATATTCCTTGCTCATCTGTTTCCTCTCTTAGTTGCTACGAAGACCGACGGGACAACAAAAGTGTAGGGGATACCCATAGTCAGACCTCAATGCCTATCGGACTTTATGAGGCCTGAATGGCTGAAGGTAAAGTACGTCTATCCTTTATATATGATGAGGCATGCTTCGTTACTCTTCTTCTTTATGCTAATATAGTACTACTATGTATCTTGAACCTTAAACTGATTATAAGGAAGCTTCTCAGTCCTAACAAACATAAGTTCTGAGCTCGAGACATCCAACCCGCTGCCATCTTTTGCATTGTAATCTGCAAACAACCGAGTGCTCGAGACTTACCATCAACTGATTTTATGCAAAGCTTCACTGAAGCTTAAGCAAACTCTTGGTTCCATTTCTTCAGTAAAGTCCAGTGGTATTGTTCATACTTCATAGTGAAATCGCGACCTTTTTCCATCTTTAGGTTACGTTGAAAGGGCCAATATATCTAGAGCGTTTACATGTGGACTGTACAGTCATTGAGCTGATAGCGGTCAGGGTCTCTGAGCATGAGGCTTGATAGAAGACCCCGATTATAAATGCGAAAGTAAGTAATGCCTTTACTTGATTTCGCCAGCTGAACTACATCACTCTATGTTTGGTCATTTGGAATTTCTAACACTCACTCACTCACTCCTTCGATTTATTGAATTTCATCTTTTGCGTATTGCCGGTCCTGGTCTGGACCTGAAACCTAAGACCTTAGTGTATCGGCGAGGTCTTAGCCCTGGCATTACATCCAGCATCCAATATCAACCAAGCATGCTGTATTACTCGGCGCGCATAGGGGTTGGGAATAGCGCCCTTATATCGTAGTTCCATGATATAGCTTTCACAAATGGTTGTATAAGAGAAGCACTTCTTTATGAGAGTCGATCTTTTTAAAATAGAGAGTTGATTGATAGATAAAGCTTATGATATTTCAACGAGATGCATCAAGCCAGCGCACTGAAAAGTCCCAATCAACTTCAGAGAGTCATCATGCAAATGTAAATTTAACTGAGATATTAGTGATAGAGAACTCTGATCTTAGTTGACATGGAAGTATCCTGGCAGGCTGTCTCCGAGAGGACGAAAAGAAGTGGAAAGCACTTGCGATCGCAACGCGGACAATAGGCGAGTTTGTAAAAGGATGTAGACGTCAATTCGCCGAGAAATTTGTTAGTTGCCTGGCCATTGGTACTAATCAAATTGACCACGATCCTAGGTGGCATGCTTACATATCATCCTCGGG